ATATATTTATGGTAGGAAATTTACAAAATATCTTCATGGAACATGATCTTTACTTAATATCCTAATGATTTTTGGCATAAAAGAAAAATCGATAATTTTGACCCATACAGTGTATTTTTGGCTATTGCTACAAATATACCCCAGCGACTTAAGACTGGTTTTGTGGTCCAGGGTCACAAATATAAGTTACATGGTAAAGAGTGGGAGTGTTTTAACTGTCAAAACGTGAATTACACCTGTTGAGGGAGAGATGACACGAAGGCTCTAATATCACTGCAACTCCGAAATCAGAGCACAGTTAAATTATTTAATCAAAATCTATTTATATCTATACGATTCTGTCTTTTATCTTTTAAACGGTCCAGATTGGTTTTGACCAGATTGGTTTTTAACGTTCTGTAGCCTAATGTTCTACAATATGAACTTCACGAAAGACTTCCTCTAGTTCTGTGTGAAATTATAGAGCAACACGAAGGTAAGCGCATTATTGTTGTTGTTATTTATAACAATGAATTGTATGCATCAATGAATGGCACAGTTTTGACGGTCATGGTGTGTGCATAAACGAGTGTGAAATACCTAATTGCTTTGCTTTTTCCGATCACTTATATTAGGCACTTTTTTGCATTTAAATTCTAACTGTTGACATTGAAAATGATGCATGTGTTTTTTCGAGGGTATCTGTTAATTTCTTGATTGTCATTTTGACAATGTCTGCTTGCATATTTTAATCATATTTGGTAATTCTCTTTAATGTATTTTCCCCGATTTGATCCATGGGAAATTCAGTTAGCATGTTAAAACTGTCAGCACGCTAAATCCTTTCAGGGATGTTTTGTCTCAAAAGTCATCCGCTTTAAACACCACAGCTAACAAATTAAAGCAAAAATACTTAAAATATCCTGTGCTTAAAATCCTTTACAATTCCAATTTGGTGTTCCCAGTCAAAAATGGCTAGCCTTTCAAATCTTTCATTATGCTATATTATCACCAAATCTCAGATTCAATCTTTTTGTCAACTTGTTTTCTTTCAGTTAGCACAGGTTTTGTATTTCTTTTTGGAACTGATTAGGGAT